TAGAAAGAACCCAACGGGTTCAGCACTGCTGTGATCTAAATTTGAACTGTTATTTTCTGGATAGAAACAATGCTTGATTTGGCTTGTATTAAAAAGCTGGAGAGCATTATATATATATATACAAAAAAAAAGTCAAAATTGAAGCAAAACATCTTGAAGGTATTATAGCAGACCCTTTTGGATAATAGCATTGTGAACATTTTAGAGATACAAAGCTTTACTTGAAGACAGATGCAGAAATACCAAGACCTTGACAATACCCCCAGCACAGGAAGGGCATTTTGCCACCAGTTCTAGGAGGCACGACCTCCCCAAACCATCCTGCTTTTGGGTGACCTGAGGGGCAGAGGCAGATGGGGCAGGTCTGGGAATAGCAGCTGAGTTTACAGAATCCTAGGGGCCAGCTCCCAGTCACTAACACTGCTCCCTGCCTTTCTTCCCTCTTCATCCTCAAAAGGCTCCTGGGAGCTGCTGATCCTGTGGGTGCTGCTGGCTCCCTGCTGATCAGGTCACCCCTCTGGCCACGTCCCAGGCTGGCTGAATCGCCCTGGGTGGCTCCAGGCTCCCATCACTCCTCCCTCCTGCTCCTTCACCTAAGGAGGAATGGGAAAATGCACATTTAAAGCTGCCCATGGTCACTTGAGTTACAGGTATCAAAGCAGTGTTTTATGGAGGGATTAATCCATTCCAAACCTGCCCTCCAGATGGGTTTCACAGATCTTCTATTTGTCTTAATTCAAACAAAAAAGAAATTTATTTATTCTCTTTGTACCAACCAGCACTACCTTGGAGAGATGAAACACTGTGCCTGCCAACAATGTTTCCCAAAGAAGCTGCTCATGCCATTTTCCAAAGGGGAGAGAAGATGATTTCAAGCAAGGAGGAGGTTGGCTGAGAGAAGCTCCTGAGGTCTCCTCAAACCTGAATTTTCTGTGTGATCCCTTGGCTGTGAGAAATGGTCTGGGCTTTATTTTCGCTCTTTAGGGAAGGACAGGTAGATCACTGGTAAAAAGTCTTCTCAGGACCCATGTCTGTTATTTTTTGTGACTTCAATGCAGAAGAAGAGTAGATGGGCAGCTGGCAGGAGGTTTGTTTATGACTCCAGTGGTGTCTGGACTTGCTCTGGTGTTTGTGTCTCCAAAGTCTGACTCAAACCCAGTTCAAGCCAGTGGAAAGAATCCCAGCAGTTTAACAGATATAAAGCTGCCACTCTGGGAAGGATAAACTTTTGGTAACACATCCTTTCATAAATCTCTCTTCTCTCTGACGTGCTGGTGACTCTCCTCGGCCAGGGGTTTTGCTGGTGGTTTTTGGGGCATGCACAAACACATTTCATCCTGCTGCTGCTATCCAGATTCTGACCCCAGCTCTGCACACACCAAATAATAGCTCTGCCCTCCCCTTGGGCCTCTCTGCCTCCATTTGCTGCCCTCTTGCCTTTGCTTTGGGTTGGAAGGAGCCTCCAAGCCCAGCTCATTCCATGGGCAGGGACACCTCCCACCAGCCCAGCTTGCTCCAAGCCCTCTCCAGCCACGTGGCTCTACCTCAATCTATATCTACATTTACTTGTATCTTTGGCCCCCTAAATCTGTTTGTTCTAATGATGCTGAAATTCTATGGAGGGCACCCACGGCCTCCATGGCATCTCCTTTTCCTAATCCAAATCCAACAAAATATTCACTTAAATTCCTTATCACTCTGAAAAACCACTGCTCTCCCCAAGAGTAAGGACAAGGCTTACGGAGAGAGTGATGACACATTTCATCAGACCAAAAAGACAGGCAAAACAGCCAAACTTCTGCTCTGCCAGTCTTTCCTTGGGGCCTTTATTAAGACATTTCTCCATGGTCTCCCCCGTGCAAGGACAGCTTCCCCATGGATGTGTCCGCAAGGTCTGCGATTTGTAAGGCAAAGAAAGGTTTTGATAATCCATAACTTGCTTAACAAGGACTCTCCTCACAAAAATGGTTGCTTGCCTTCAAAGGAATGCTTCTGGAGAGCTACTTTGTGGCCAGCCACTCAACATTACTGATCCTCATTAGACCAGAAAAGTACATGCTTTCCCTCCAGGAAGAGTATGTAAGTGTTGGAATTTCTAACGTTAGAAATGATTGAAACTGAGCAGTTTGAAATGGTAATTTTTCCTACAGCTGAAATTTAAAAGATGACAGTTTTCTTTCCCGTGTCCATTCTCATTATTTATCAGAACTTAGGCTGTGATTTACATCCCTAACAAGTAAAATGGATAAGCCAGACTCCTTCCAGGCCACTGCATCCCATCTCCTTTGCCTGCTACTGCTCCAGCCTTTATCAAACACCTGCACTGCCACCTTCTGCCTGTTTTACATCTCACAGCTGAATTTCTACCACGCTTCGTTTGTTTTTTTGGCTCATCCTGCCGAATTTGGGATGTATGTCCTAGGAAAATTTGGAATACAAATTAAAAACCACATGTGCATATGCACAATCAACGTGGTCTGTAAATTGTTGGGGTTTTTTCCCAGCTGGTTTTTATTAATTGCACTATCATTACTTCTTAGCTTTAATTTGGAGGAAGGGAACTCACCAGTGCAGCTCCCCATGACCCTAAAATATTAAAATATTTTGCTCTGATGGCTACCCCATCCCTGGAAGTGTTCCAGGCCAGGGCTTGGAGCAGCCTGGGATAGTGGAAGGTGTCCCTGCCCATGGCAAGGGGTGGAACATCTTTAACATCTCTTCTAAACCAAACCATTCTCTGGTTCTAGGAAAAGAAATCCAAGTGAAGCATAACCATGGTTTAAAAATGGGGGGGGCTGGAAAAATCCCTTTTTTCTTTCTTGCTTTTCTGATGAAATATTAGCTAAATGCAACATCAAGTTGAGGGGGGAAAAAATGTATCTAAAAGCCAAGATGTACTTTAAACCCTCTCACATCACTCATTTTAAAGAATTCTTGGTGTTTTTCCTTTCCTGATTGAAGGAAGGGATACCAAAATCACCCTCTACTTGGAAAAAGCAATGTTCTTAGTGAACATGCTAATCCCTGCAGCAGCCAGCCTCAGGCCAAGTGGCACCTCCAAGCAGGAGCAGAGGCCCTGGCCCAGCTCTGGAAGACAGATGGGCTCGGCACCATCTCCTGGAAAGCTCCAGAGGCATTATTGAATGTCTAAACGCCAACTTTTAACAGAAAGTCAGTTCTTACAGGCTTGAGAGACTCCACACACACAAGAAAAGATTGGGAATGTTTCCCCTGCATTGTAAACAGTATTTTTCCCATGCTGAGGGAACAGTGGCATCTGCTGTTCACTGGGCTCTCCTGCAGCCAGCGCTGCCCAGGCGGCTGCTGGAACATTCCCTGGACATGGGCAGGGTTTGGCTCCCCAGTGGCACCTGGGACATGCAGGATGCCCCAAACATCTCAAATTTCCAGTGCGGGGCTCAAGCCCACTCCATTGGCAGCTGGAGGCCTGGGTGGTGCATCAAACCCCAAATTGCTTCCAGTGAAGAAGGGATTTGCTCTGATGAGCAGGAATTCCAGGACCCAGGACAGTTGTGCATCTTTCCAGGACCCAGGACTGTTGTGCATCTCCCTGGAATTTTCTACGGAGTTTAGAAAAGGGAAATTACTCTCTGCATTTTGCTAATTGAAATGTGCTCCATTGGTCTCCTATCCTGAGTGCATGAAAGGATATTTCCTCCAGAGGTGGACAGAATGACCGACTTGAGCTTGGATCTACTGAACATTTTCCAAATCTCTGCATCCTTCTGCTTCACCAAAGGCTGTTCTGCAATATTTTCAGGATACCCCATGAGCAGTTTTATCTGAGTGCTGGGACTGACAGGGGTTTTTTCTGTTCCTGTTGTGACCCATCCATAAAAACACAAGTTCTGAGCCTGGTTACTCCTCCCCGAGTGTGGAAAGGAGCAGCTCCACTCTGATCCAACACTCCTGCAAATTCCTGCTCCTCCTTGTGGCTGCACTCAGAAACTCAGGGCTTTCCTCACACGGGGCCTTATTTCAGCAGCTGACCTCACTCAGAGATACCGATTATTGTCCCGGCCTTATTTCAGCAGCTGACCTCACTCAGAGATACCGATTATTGTCCCTTTTGGGCACTCTGCCCTATTAAATTACAACAAAATGCATTTTGGTGACATCAGAACCGATTTCACAGCGAGGGTGGCTCTGTAAAGGCACTGCTGAACATTGACCTCCGTGATCAAAAAAATCAGCACAGCTAAAAGGATTTCTCTTCTTGCCTCTGAGGTTTCCACACTCATCAGGTGATTTTAAATAACAGGTAGCACTTTAAGTGACAATGTGCCAAGGGCTGACTTTGGGGTGGCGTCAGGCGCCTTGGCACGGCGCTCCTCAAAACCTGGATCTCTCTGTTCTGCAACAATTTGTTCAAATCAAAGCCTGGATTTGTCATGCACCAAAGTTTATTTTCTATAAAAACACGGGAGGTTTTCCTCAGGGCAGCTGAACTCCTGCTAGAAAAAAATAAATTGGTAGGAAATGGGTACCTAAAGGCAAATCCCACTGAAGTTAAATTTGATCCCAATCATCTCCTACAAAGATTTTGACAAATGCAACTCTCCTAAGTCAACAGGCAATTTAAAGTGTGTGGAGAACAAGCTACAAATATCCCAACCCTTTTGCTATCAGCAGTCAGCATAAACAATGTTACCTGAATAGGTTCACAGAGAGAATAAGAAAGGCTGGTTTTGTAATGTTTTCTTTATTAAACTCAGCTTTCACTGCTGTTCTGAGTTGACAAAAATGTTTTCCAGGAAGACTGACAAACAAAAACAGTTTATAAATATATTTTTTTTTTCCAAATGCCATAGGTATAAACAAATAAAAGCTCTGGTTTGCTACTCTGGGAGGCCCTGTGTAACCAGCATTTTCAACTGGCCAAATAGCAGCATGTGTGTTTATCAGTGAAGAAATTCCACTTGTTTTTAAATTATCAAATCCAGTGTTTTAAAAATTATTGCTCATTATCAGACAAAACCTCAAGATAAAAAGGATGTTTATTATACCATCCCTGCTGGTAGTGAGGATTTTTATATTGCCAGTACATGCAGCTTTGTGGTGGGGTTTTTTAGGCAATTAAGACCAAAACTTTTCAAAATAGATTGAGATGCTGGGAAACCAATGTTCCAGGAGCCAAATTCTCAGCAGCTCTGAAGTTGGCACCTTCCTGAATGATGACCTTCTTTTAAGATGTCAGGCTGAGGACCCCTGACAAAAACATCCCTCGAGAACTAATGGCTGGGGATGGATCACCCAGCTGTGACACTGCTCCAAGGCTTTGCTGCCTGGAATTAAATCCTGTCCTGGCAAGGCTCCTGCCTCTTTCCCAAATCCCTTGGGACCTGCCTGGAGGGCTGGGGTGAGGAAGAGGACCAGTGCCCAGAGTCATGGAGCTGTAGATGACGGAGATGTTTTTCCTCTCTCGCTGCTCCTCCTGGCTGGCAGGCTCAGGGGAGGGGACAGTGGCAGGTACCGGCGGAAGGTGGGAAGGTGGATTTCCTCACTGATCCTCCCCGTGCCTACTGCGTACACTACTGGCCAGTGGTGTCCTACCGGGGCTACTTCAGGGCAGCTGTCACCCCCTCGTGCCCGGGAGCACCTCGGGGCCAGCGTCCGCCTTTCCGTGCGCTCCGCTGGCCACGGCTCGCTGCCTCCCTGCCCCGCTCCGGCCGCCCTGGCGCTTCTCCGCAGGGGAACAAGGACGCTCCTCTCCGCGCCTGTCCCGGAGCGCTGGCCGTGCCAGCCCGGCTGGGCTCAGCCTCAGCCTCAGGGCACCGCGGCCGGGCCGCTCTGCGGGGGCCCTGGGGCCTCGTCCCCGCCCGGCCGCTTGGGATACACCGCGCTGGCCATCCTGAAGAACTCGTCAGCGGCGTCCAGGGCGATGAGCCGGTCCTGCCAAACAACGGGGATTATGGTCACTGCGGGATGGATGCTCCACATCCCTCCACGGCCCCTCAGGCATCAGGGCTCATCTCTTCCCACCTCAGAGCATCCAGCTGCAGGGAACTCGCAGAGGGGCCTGGAATTCCCGGCGTTGCAACACTTTCTGAGGAAACTAAATAGCCAAGCTCCAAGTGCAGCATCTGAAGGGATCCCCCAGGATGCCACCGAGTATCTGAGCATCTGGCTCACCTGCTCTATTCCCCTCTTGTGAGCTCCCTGCAGAGCTGGGTGGGATGGGGAGGGTGTGCTCAGAGTACTCACCACCACAAAGAGGTAGCGCTCAGAAAGCTCCCAGCTGGTAGGGAAGATGTTGGTCTCTTCTGAGAGCTTTAACAAGATGTCCCGGGCCTTGCTCATGTTCTGAGAGTCGCTGATGATGCTGAGTTTGGTCACTGACAAGAGGGAATCTGCTTCCTTCTGGAAACCTGGGAAAGAGATGTTACAGAAACAAGTCAAACGTGAGGGTAGGGTCACCCCTGAGCCCTTCAGGCTCTTGGAAGGTTCCTTATTCCCCCTCCACCCTGGGCAGCTGCATCCCTACTTCCCAAAACAAACCAGCACTCCCTCAGGCAGGCTGTGGGACAGGAGTTTGTTGCTGGTTTTCCTGAGAAAAGGTGTGTGAACATGCACAACCCAGGGTGCTGTTTCAGCTCTTCCATGTTGCTGATGCTACCAGAGCTTTCAGGTAACAAGGATAAAACCTGTGGCAGTGATGAACACCAGGCTAATTGCTCCTGTAGCAGTCAGCATCGATTACAGGAAGGGTATCCAGGGAAGGAAAAGTGGAGGAGAGTGAATGCAATAAGGGTCATTAAATGCAATGGCTACCATCAACTCTGTGTTCAGCTCCAGGGGCTGGTGGTGATGCATCTCACATGAAAACAGTTATGGGGTAAGATTGGTGGGCTTATGATTAAAGCAGAGGCCCAGAAAGCAGAAGATAGCAGGTTTCACATCTGGTTGCTCATTTAGCTTCACAAAGTCCAAATGATCCCTGGCTTTGAGCTTCCCCGGCCTTTGCAAAACATCTCTCGAGCCACTGTGGATGTCAGAGGGATGTAGGAGAGCCTTTGTCAGCCTGCAGTGAGAGATGGAAGGATGCCAAGTGATCCCTCCCAAGCTCAGCCTGCACAGCCTGTGTGAGCACCTGGGAGGAGATGAGGGTTGACACCTGGTTATGGATTTATGATGTTCCTCCCACTAAAATGCCAGAATAGCAGGTAGGGCAGGAGTGGCTGAGATACCCATCTCTGGCTCCCATTGAGGGTATCCTAGAATAGATTCACTCATCCTCCTCTCATCAGCCACCAGCCTCCTCCAGAGCATGATGGAAGCCACGCAGCTGATGTGCTGGCACGTCTGGAGTGTCACATGCTGTGTGCCAGGCAGTTGGGAAAACCCCGTCACACCCACCAGCACCACTTGGAAACAGCAGCAGGAGGATTTCTGTGGAGCACTTCCACTTGGTGAAAGAATATTTCAAATCCCCTTGGGAGCAAACAGGGTGAGTGGCTTAGCTCTGATCAGCTGCCATTGGCTAAGAAAATGAAATAGGTGTATCTGTGTTCCCATCTGAAAGGAATATTCACTCCTTCCTGCTTATCTTGTTCAGAAAAAAACAGGGTGGACTCCCACGTTAAGGTCTCCACAAGGAAGCCTGAAATGGATGGCTGTGCCTGTGATTATGGGCTTGGAAGCTGATTGTGGCTCATGGGCTTTTGATGAGCCCACAGACACGGTGCCCCTGTCCCCTCCCCACCCTGCCTAAGCCCTGGGGAGCCTCAGGTATCATGTGAGAAACCTGAGGGCATCCCTCAGCAACCTCCTTTCCCTTCTCTCCAGCTTGATTTTGTGGAGCTGTTCCCATCCTCAGCCACGGTGGGATCTCACATTCAGTACCACTGCAATCACATCCCTTTGGCCTCCAGCTTACCTAAATCCTCCAAAATGTGTTTCCACCTGCTCCTCACTTCTTTCCGGGTCTGCCGCAAAGTATAAATGTCATAGTTGAGCTTCTGCCACTCCTGCAAAGCAAAGGCATGAGAGACACTCACTCACTGGAATCTGCTGCTTTTCAAGGAATTTCAGCTGTGAGGAAGGGAGCCAGAGGTGCAGAGTCAGTGTAAGCACTGAGCTGTGAGGTGTTGAGTGTGAAGGTCAATGACCAGGCTGCTTTTGCCCCTAGAAGAAATTACATTGGCCAACACAGAATATTTAGCTTGACACTTGGCTCAGCTTTTCTGTGTCTTCTCTGTTCAAAACAGCTTCCAGTTTCCCTGAAATGACAGAATTTAGCTCAGGTGTTGCTGACAACTGCTCCTCAGTCAGACATGGAGCCCTGTTTGGCACAAACTGGAGCAGGCAGGTGTTCCAAAGTACTAGAAAACAAGAAAAAGAGACTTTTTTTAAAGATCAGGGTACTCTTTTTTTAAAAGACATACCCAGAGGTGCACATGGATGGAGTCATCTCAGTGATAACCTTTAGTGGCTGCCAGTTGCTGCATTTAATGCCTCACTTCACTGCCCAGCTGAAATCCTTGCACTGGACCTCCGGCCCTAGAGCTGGATAATGGGACACTGGGCAAGAGGAGAGGGTTTGGGGTTATTTACTGAAGTCACATTTAAACACAACCTCACAAGTTTCATGGTGGGCTTGGCCATGCTGGGTTAATGGCTGGACTCAATGATATTAGATGATTTTTCCTACCTAAATAATTCCATTAATTATTAATTAATTTTTAGAAGCAGCCCAACAGCAGGGTCACAACATCACCTGATAACTTCCTTCCAGTAAAAACCATAATTAATCTCATTTCTCAGCAAGGGATTACCTACACAGGCTCCTGAAGAATAAAAAGGTGTTGACCTGTGCTGTCACCCTGAGATTTTCCTACAGGTCACACTGGGTTCAGAGCAGAAAAATAACACCCACAGAGGTCAGCTGTGTGTTAGAAATCCCACTGTTTTCTGCTACTTGGTCAAAGAGCTGACTCAATTCCATGAAGATTTGAAGATTCCTCAGTGTTTTTCCCCTGAATGTGGCTGACATGCCACAACTGCAGGGATTTAAAGCCAAGCCTGTTTTCCTGCTGATCAGCACTAGCTGCAGGAAGCCCTGGGAGATTACACTTCGGAAAAAGCAGCCAGTGGGGTTAAGACAGTGGTGACTCCAGGTCAGGAGAGTAGAGAAACCAGCTCTGCCACAGCTGCTCGCTCCCAGAAAACAAAATCCCCTTCCAGAGGCACATTTCCCTCTCTCCTGAAGTGGCACTTGAGAACAGCTTTGCTGCTTGCACAGGAGAGCCTGGCTGCCAGCACAAGGCACAGGGACAGCCCTTCACCAGGGAAAAGAGGTGGGCAAAACTCTCCTCTCCCATGACACCAGTTCAGAGCTGGGAACTGAGCTCCTCTAGGAGGAAAATAAAAGAGGGGGAGTGTTTGTGTTAAAGCTTTGTGGGAAGTTTATTGAAAACTTGAGAGTTTTCAGAAAGAGGCTGAAAAAACTGCATGATGCCTTGGTCCCCACTGGCAGGGGCTCCTTGGAAACGTCTTGGCCCTCTTGTGACCCCCTGGCACAGGCAGAAAGGAGAGGGAGCCAGTCTGGGCAGGCTGGTGGAGAATAGCTGCACGTCTCTGCCCTCCCATGGAGATAAACAAGGCCTTTAGCACAGACCATCCATCCAGACAGCCACTGTGATCCCAGGCGTGCTTCACGCTGTGGAATCAGGAGCTGGGGCACTGGGAAAGAAGCTCCTCTCCACAAAATGTGGCCTCCTGGCACTCAGCAACAGCTTTGATGGCCATGGGGATTTACCCCGTGGTACGAGCCAGACTCCTCACTAAGCACGGACTGCAGTGCTTAGCATGCAGAGAAGCTGCTCCTGATTGTCTCGGGATTAACAGCAGTGTGTTTTCCCTTGTCTATTTTTGTTTGAAGGGAATCTAGGTTATGGCTTTCTTGTACATCAGTGTCTCAGCTGTGTTATGGAAGTGAATATGGTGAATATTCAGTCCCAGGGCAGCTCTGACAGTGTCCTGCTGACGGAGAATTTGGGGAGCTTTGTGCAAAGGAATGATTTTGGTACACAAAACGATGCCTAACTGTGGTCTCTGGGTGGGATCTCTTGTTCTGGTGGGATTTCTTTTGCATGAGCATGGAGCTGAATGTGTTAATATTTCTGCAGAAAGCTGGGAGGAGGCTGCTTCTTATCAGGATGCCACTGGGCTGAGCTCTCAAAGGGACTTGTGCCCTGGTCTCCATCAGTCTCAGGAACCACTGGATTTTCCCAGGCAATTCCTTGCAGCAGAGACATCTGAAGTGCCATGGGCTGTCCTCTGTGTGTCTTTAATGAGGGAATAAACTCAAGAGCATCTTTCCACACCCAAAATTATTCTAAAAAGCATCTCCCTTGAGCTACACAGCAGCAGAAGAGCAAAGCTTGCCCTGCCCATGCACAGGCAAGGGCAACATCAGAGGCTTTGGGGAGGGAGTTTCCATCACACATCCCTCGAGTGAGTCACCAGGGAGCGTTTGGAGGGGCCAGGAGGCATCACGGGGCTGCTCAGCCCCCAGGCAGGCGGCTCCACACCAAACCCCTCTCCCTCAGCCTTCTTGGGAAGCTGGGTGGGACTCCTGGGGCAGGGAGGAGGATTCTCACACACAGGGAGACTGAAACACCAAATGTGTGGTGTTTCTGGGACATCCCAGCCATGCACTCAAAAGCAATCCTTTAAGAAATAGACTCCTTTTGCCAAAATGTGAGTTAACCACAGGAAACAAAAGCACGTTGCAGTTCCCAGACCTGTGTTTTGCAGCCAGTTTTGCCCTTTAAACCCACAGAGCAGAGCACAATGGATACCAGAGAAAACCCTGAGTGTGTGAGTCAAGAATATCCCAAGATCAGCAGGGAAACCCCACTGCCTCCCTTCTCTAAATGCTCAGCCCTTCAAATATTTACCTGAAAAACCTCCCCAGAGTCTCTAGTGTGAAACACTAAATCTCCAAATGCCAAATGACATGGAATAAGCCAGGCTGGTACAAAACTCAGAGCTCTGGGAAAAAAATGTGCCAAGAGAACAGGCAACACTGTCCAGCTTCTCATCCCTGATCATATGAAAGTTTCCTAATTACTAGGGAGCTTTCTTCATGGTGCCAGAACAATCCTCTACCAAATCCATTGCCTTTATTCACTTAAAAGCAATTGAGGTCGCCGTTCTGTTCAAGAGTTATTTTAGAAATGAGGTCAAAACAGAGTTATCAGGGAAAGACTGCAAAATATCAGTCCAGGCAGGTACCAGGGATGCTCCTGAACAAATATAAACTACAGACTGACATCTCAGAATAAGCTTAAACTGGATTCAATTTAAGAGAAGCATGCAGACATTAAGAGGGTTGGGTCTGGGTTCCACAGCCCTGGACAAATCCCATCACCCCTCTATGCCCCAGTATCAGCTGGTCACAATTCTGACCTTCTCTGTAACCTGTTTAGAAAAGAATAATCCTGTAGGGGAGCAGGAGGAGAAAGAAAAATAGGCCTTGCCAGCTCATTAATGGGCTTTTCAGGGGGATCATGCCAGCATTGCTCTTCTAACCAGGCCCCTGGCAGGGATGCAGGCTGAGGAATTGCCTTTGCTATGGGGTTTATGATCCCACCTTTCCCTAGGGAGTAAGCCAAGAGAAGAGAGAAACACTGCATTTACAGCAAGCAGTGAGAACAGGGGGTTTCCTCAGCCACCATGCAAAATTCCACCTTTAGTTTCTGTTCCCAGCGATGTGGCACAGCTGCCCTAGCCCTGGCTCCTTCTCTGAAGCTCTTCCTCTGAAGCCAGGATTGGTGCACACTCCCTGCCCACAGCTGGGGAGCTCCACACACCCAGCAGAGGCTGTGGAGAAACCAGGGCCACCCCAGGGTGGACCTCATGGAGGGGTCCCTGTGCAGCCCACACTCATTAGCCCAGCAACACCCCCAGTGCAGCCCTTTCATTTCACCACCAGGTCTTGGATTTATTTTACCCTACAACAGGCTCAACAATGCTGCAGAGCCAGAGTAGGGAAAAGAAAAAAACCTCACATTTTTCCCATATTTAAAACATGACCCCATCCTTCAAAAGCTGTTGATGACATCTCTGATCTTCAAAGGCTGCATCTACTTGACCAGCCACTTGAGCCAGCCCCTCAGCAATGGCTTTCCTGGTTTTCTCTGTGCAAGCCAAGGACACACTGAGTTTGGGCTGGAGCTGCCCTATTTCCCAGAGCAGAGCTGCCAGCAGGGACAGGAGGAAGACACAGCTCCACATGGATCAGGTGTGGGTCCTGCCCCATGGTGGGGGCAAAGAACAGACCCCAAGGGAGAGCACCAGCACTGCCAAGATGGTGCCATACAGATAAAGAACACATGATGGAGAGCAACCTGCTCCTTGGGATCTTTCCAAAGGCCTGTGCTGGGAAATCCCTGGGATACAGGTGGGGACATGGCAAAGCACACAGTGAGTGCACTGCACACCAGAATTTCTCTGTTAAATGAAGGAACAGAAATGCAGGAAGTTCTCCTTTCAGTCAATTTTAACCACAGGAAGATAAGGACCTACAGTTTTGTAACACTTGTGCACCACAGAAGGAAACTGCTCCTCCATCCTCTGTCCTGCAGTATCCACAGGCTCACCCTGGGGATTTTGGGAGCAGAGCAGCCCCCAAAGCAGATGATAGCTTTTGCAGCCTGCTGTTGTTCTGCAACTGGACTTTTTTCCTCTCTCTCTGAGCTGAAGTCTCATTAGGAGGGGAAGGCACTGCAGTCTGGCCTAGTTTTCAAATACTTGCTGGAGTAAGGAGAGATTTTGGCACCAGGGGCCAAGCTCAGGAATGTTGGCTTTGCTGTCCAAGCCCCTCCCTGCCCTGCCACCCAGCAAGAGCTGCAGCTGGAAACTGCAACAGCCTGCTGGGCTTCCCTGGTGTGCCTCAGTTTCCCAGCTGTAAGAGGGGCCAGCAGAGCCATTGCCAACCCTGGGCTGCAAGGGACACGGGGCCACACTCAAAGCAAGTGTAAAGTGCATTGGCTTTCCTCAAAACTTTCCTTACTGCTGATGTTGTGCTCCTCAGGCTGTTTATTGATTGCACTGCATGAAAAAGCAGGGTATGTGATGCTGTGGATGGATGGATGGATGGATGGATGGATGGATGGATGGATGGATGGATGGATGGATGGAGCTCCCTGGCTTCTCTCAGACAAGCAACTCAAGGTAGAGGGAGCAGCAGTGGGGAGGGAAGAGATCTCCAGTTAGAGCTGTAAAGGTCACATGCCACCATGAAAATGTTGTTACAAAACCATCCATTGTAAACACCATGATTAAATCAAACTGACCAAAAAACAACCCCATCAAATGGGGATTCTGGCCAACTGTATACAAGGATTCCATTACCTCTTTAAGCGAATTGCAACTTGTAATTTTGGTTTCTCTGAAGTTTAAAGCTTCTTGCAAAGCTATCACAGGAGAAAGTTACTCTCCTGCAGACTCCTGGATGAAGCAGGATCATGCTGAAGTTAAACAGGAAGCCTCCAGGCTCTCCTGCAAACATTCTGGAGTCATGAAAGCAATCAGAGAGGGAAAAAATGTGTCACTGTTTGCTACAGCCTGCTCCTAATCAGGGCACTGCAATCTCCTTTGCGCTGAAGTGCCTTAGCAAAGGAAATCAGGGCTGCAGAACAGCCTTTATGTAACAGCCATGATTTTTCCCTTCCCACTAAGAGCTGTGCCAGTTCCCCGCTTCCCAATAATTGCCGTGCATCCCACTGGAGAAGGATTTAACTTGACACATCCCCGGAGTGGCAGCAGAGCTCTGGGTGCACGAGAGTCAGCCTGGCCATGGAAAGGACAAACTGGGGAAATATCCAACCAAAAAAGCAGCCTGGGAAGGCAGGAAATGGGGCTGGGCCCCAGGGCTCCCAGTACACGTTTGTGGGTTGTGGTGGTTGCAGGGCATTGCTCCCAAGCATGTTCCAGCTGCCATGAATGCCTGGGAAACCCCCCTGCAATCTGCCTGCTTCCTGATATCTGAGAAACAAATGCTTCCTATCCACTGTAAAGCATCTTCCTCATGTTCTTCCTGTTCCCTGTCACTTTCTTATCCTTTCTGTCTCTTCTATTTCTCCTCTCAGTTTCCTTCCCTGAGATGTCCTTTTGTCCCTGGTCTCCATCTCAAGCCTACCTTGGGTCTTTTCCCACATCCCTTCATGTAGGAAGCCCATTACTGACCTCCTGACTTCCTTGGTTTTTAAGTGTCAGCTGCTGTGTTCCCTCACTCCTCTATGGAAAGCACATAACCTTTGGTTTGGGCTGACCAAAGATGTACAGAGAGAGAGATTTCTGAAGGGGATGGGCAGTGAGGGGAGAAAAGAAAAGGGGAGGGCACTGAAAGTATCCAAGCCAAGGAGAACATGGGGGATTCTCACAACAGAGGGAGATGAACCCAAGGGAACCATGGAGGTGATAAACACACCTCAGGGCAGCTCCTGGATATACCTGGATATAGCTGGAGATACCCCCAAGCTTCCCAGAGGGCCACAGAGACATCAACACCAGATGCAGGATAAAATCTGGAGGGTGATGGAACAGGTGGGAGGACCTGGTGCCTACATGAGCCACACAGGGGGACTTTGGGGTCTCCACAGCAGCTTAATTGAAGGAAAGAGCTGCTGGTGTCAGTCCAGAGGAGCCCACCAAGGGGATCAGAGGGATGGAGAGCTCTGCTATGAGGAAAGGCTGAGAGAACTGGGATTGTTCAGCCTGGAGAAGACTTCAGGGTGACCTAATTACAGCCTTCCAGTGCCTGAAGGGAATCCTATAGGAAATATAGGGAAAAACTATTTACAAGAGCCTGGAGTGACAGGACATGGGGGAATGGCTTCAAACTGCCAGAAAGTAGGTTTAGACAGGAGATTAGGAAAAACATCCTCCCTGAGAGGGTGCTGAGGCCCTGGCACAGGGTGCCCAGAGAAGCTCTGGCTGCTCCATCCCTGGAAGTGCCCAAGGTGCCAGGTTAGGTGGGACTTGGAGGAAGCTGGGACAGTGGAAGGTGTTCCTGCACATGGCAAGGAGTGGGACTGGATGAGCTTTAAGATCCCTTCCATCCCAAAGCGTTCTGTGATTCCCCACACGCTGCCAAAACCCGTGGGGCTCTGAACTCCCCGAGCGCTGCCTCACCTCCGAGTCTTTGTCCAGCTGGTTCCTGACCACGATCATGTTGTAGAGCACGCGGTCGTCGTCGGCCTCGGTGTGGGTCACGTCGTGGGGAGTGCTCCACAGGTTCTGCTCCTCATCCCGCGCCAGGGTGGCTCCGAAGGACGCGTAGGGGTTGTTGTTACTGCAGAGAGAGAGAGGGGCAGGCAGCGTCAGCCCCTGCTGCCTTCCCAGCGCCCACTGCTGCTGCCAGAGGGGAGCAGGGGGGAAATGGGGAGACAGAGGTTTTGTTCCTTAGCAGTCTGATGTGGTTCAAACCTAACCATGAGATTCCCACAGGTGCCCCCACCCAGCAGCTCCTGCCTCGGAGCTGCAGTGATGTGCTGAGCTGTGCAACAGCAGACAAGGCATGGAAAGGATATTCAGCCTCATCTTATTTTGGCAATGGAAATGTCCTCAGCATTCTAATGAGCTCCAGGCTTTATTTGCTTAGCAAAGCTGAGCATCGTCTTCTGGGAAGGCTGTCCCCTTGGAGGTGAGGAGCTTTTCTTTACACTGGGACAGCTCTGTGTTCTATGGCTTTATCTTGCTATTGGGATGCACAATCTTTTAACAAGGACACTTCTGCCAAGAGAACTTTCAGCATTTCCATGAAGTGTCTAATCAAAATGTCCAGCCACTTCAGCAGAACAATACAAGTGGAGAACTATTTTTGGCCTTACCACCCTCTGGCAATCCCTGCTCACTCCTTGTCAGAACAACCCACTGTTTGTTTGCTACCCAAACCCCATTCCTTTCCCAAGGAACCCATCCAGAGAAACTTCAGGTAACAACGTGGGTGCCATGGCACCAAGCCATAAAAAGATGCTAAGAGGAGCTCCAGCACATAGATGAAATAGAAAAAACTAATTCCCATCAGCATGAAGGGAATTAGCAGGAAGGTTAATTAGACTTTCAACAAACCGAAAACCTGAGCAACAGGTAATAAGGGGAAAGATAATCTGTTATAATCTCTCATTAAAGACAAGCAAACAAAGGTAACTTGGAGGGTGTGGAGGGGCACAACCATTTTTCCATCGTGGAACAGAGAGAGAAAGAGCACTCAGGAGCCAGCTGTACCATCAGCAGGAGCTCACTCCCACCCTGCCTTCCACAGCTTCCTCCCACTCAGACATTTACCAGTATGCTTAACATTTGAGTTACTTAAAACGCCGGTATTTAGCAATAACACTGCCACACCTGAGCTTTTCTGGGCCACTCCCTCCCTCACAGCTCCCAGGGTACTTCCCAGCACAGTCCCATTCCCAAATCACAGCATGGAGCATCCTGGAAGGCATGTGGCAGTGCCCAGGAGTCAGCAAATCCATCCCAGCACTGCCAACAGCTCCTTCAAACAACATCTCAAAGGAAGAAATGGGAGGGAGAAAAGAAGCATGTGAACAGCAGCGGCTTTGCAGGTTAAGGAATCTCCGTGGGACCAGAAGGGACAGGGAGCGTTTCACACTGTGGATTTTATCCAGAAAATGGTGAGCACCAATGCTTCATCAATTGATTTCTGCCCCGGGGGCTTTCAGTTCACATTAAGTTTTGGCATTTGGAGGCCAAATATTTATTTTATTTTCATCCTGAGTGCACCATCCGAGCCACCTTCACACATCAAGAGACAACCAAGCAGCCTGGATTCTTTGCAACATCAGCTCCCAAACCTAAAACTCGGCTTAAAGAGCTGAAATGTCAATCAATTCATTCACTTTAAACAGCACTGCAGTAAAAATAAAAATACAGCCAGCAAGCTATTGCAAGATCCCCACTATGAAATAAGGACCCCCGAGAAGGGGCAAGCATTAATTAGGCTGTTAGGGACAGCGATTAGGCTGTTAGATTAATTATGCTGGCACACGTGTATAAGAGCAGGTGTCTTTCGAATTCCCAGAATTTATAGAGCCTTTCCTTCTTAGGGCCAGCATTAATTGGATCCCCAGCGTGTTACTAAAGCGAGGTGCCAGGTGAGGGCCAGCCACCGTGGCCATGGGGCAGCAGAAAGGAGCCTCCCGCACGTGTGTGCTCGGCTCCCGGGAGGTTAATGCCAATTTCCTGGGCTGGAAGCCCCATGCTTGGGATAAGCCGGTTATTCTTTAGGTAACTGCTTTACCAGCGAGAAATCAGGACGTTTGAAGCCGTGTGTCGCCAGCTCTGCTGTTAGCTGACACGGATGCAGGATGCGCCGGGAGCATCGCACCCTCCTCCCTGCTCGGTCCTGCTCACCCCTCTGCGGGTGCCACCGGGCAAGGAGGGACAGCCGCCGAAAAACACGGATGTTTTGCCACATGCAAACCCTCTTTACGTGCTGGAATAGCTTTTCTCCACGGGACACGGAGAATCTGTTCATACAACACCCCCAAGCTCAGGCTCTGTGCACAAAGCAGATGCGAGCGCCAGCAGGAGGGCAGGATCTGCTCCCCAGAGATCAGCACACGCAGCTCTCGCTCAAAGCCGGCTGTGCAGCCTCATCTCCGCCCCGGCATCCCTGAATGGAGCCAGGCTGCAGAGCTGGCGGGGCTCACCTGGAAAAGGGAAGGCTCCAGGAAAACCTCAGAGCACTTTCCAGTGCCTAAAGGGGAGAGTGACTTTTTACTGCGGCAGACAGTGATAGGACAAGGGGAAAGGTCTTAAACTCAACGAGAGGGGATTTAGATTAAATGTTAGGAAGAAATTCTTCCCTGTGAAGGTGCTGAGGCCCTGGCACAGGGTGCCCAGAGAAGCTGTGCCTGGATGCCTGGAATTGTCCCAGGCCAGGCTGGATGGAGCTTGGGGCAACCTGGGAGAGTGGAAGGTGTCTCTGCCCAGGGCAAGGGGTGGAACAGGCTGAGCTTTACTGCCCCTTCCATCCCAGTCCATCCTGGGATTCTGTGCCCCCAGCCTGCGAACAGAGCTCTCCAGAACCCAGAGCTGCCGGCAGCGGGACCCGACTCGCTGCTGAGGAACGCAGGGACCCTCTTTCAGTCCAGTGCCTCAGCGCCTCTGCTGAAACCGCACCGCGGAGAGACAAAGCGCTGTGGCCGGGGAGCACGGAGGGGACACCGCGGGCAGGGCTCCTGCGGGCACCGCGCCGGCTCTCAGGAGGAGCCCGGCCCCTGCGGCAGCCCAGCCGGGCGGAAAGAGAGCGGGAAGCGGCTCCATCCCGCCCGGGGAAGATCCCTCCGGAGGGGATGGATGCTCAGCTCCAGCGGCGGAGCGGGGCAGGGGACAGCGGGGAAGGGAAGAGCTGGTGGCCGGGCTGGCTCTCACCTGAGCAGGGGCTCCTTCTCGGCCACC